CCCCGGTGCACAGTGGGGCAGAATCCAAAAAAGCTGGCCAAAACCCCCAAAATAAAGTTTCTAGTTGGGGAATTTGAACTGTTGGGTTGGTTAGAGAAATATCCCAAGGGTAAAAATCCGTTAGTATTAGGGTCGGATCCCTTATACCTGCTTTTAGAAATTAATACAAAGGCGACCTTCGCTCGAGCAACATCTGGCGCGCAGAAGAAAAAGCAAGCTCGTGTTTGAAGAGTTATAAAATTTCGTAGAGTTTACCGATTTAACTTTAACAAAATGAAATCAACTCGTAAAAGTAAGTAGAATATGATTGTGTTTACTAGAATACTCAATATTTTTATAGAAAATAGTAATAAGGTAATAAACTTACGTTAATTTTACGTTATAAAACTAAAAAGAAATTTAGTTTTGAAGAAAAAAGTTTAATAATTCTGCAGAATTCTGTCATCTGTCTTATTGGACATGAAAGGTGAAACTATTATCTATAAAATAAAACAAAATTCAGCTGCCTTTAAGTGCCTAACGAGTTTTTATACATGTTTTTGTAAAAAAGAAAACAAAAAATGTTATTTTGGCGTAACTAAAAGAAGTATAAATAGTTTTTTCGTCTACTTGGATAATTGTTTCAACTTTTTTTGAACGTATATGATGTATATGTAAAGTGATTTAGAATTTACATACAAACATTTCTTTTTAAAACTTAAATTTCATGCCTAAATTCCATGCGCGGGATGTAAGCCTGTACTTTATTCGAGTAAATTTATATGTTATGTATTTACATACAGTGCTTCAAATTTATTGTATACAAATTAAATGCAAATTTTATTATATTAATGTAATTCAAACGTATAATGATTAGTACATTAAATAATTATTGTTATTTACTAATTCATTTTATATAATGATTTTTTGAAAACTTGAAATAAAAATAACTATTAATTTAATTAAAGTGTGACTAATTTATGTATTAAACAAAAACTTTTTTTTAGGTTCCAATTCAGAAATGCCTGATAAAAATGGTCTGACAAGAAAAGAAGTTTTTAATTTAATAAGAAATAATTTAAGTCTAAGGGCTACAGATGCATACGCAAAAATTGAAGAATTAATGTCTTGCAAATTACAACATCCGTATAATTTACCTGACCACACTAAACAACCAATACGGAAATTAATTTTTGATTTAAAAGACAAGTGGCAGAAAAGTAAGAGAACGGAATCTGTCTTTTTTAAAACCTATGGTGAATGGTTAGGAGTATTTATTTCATTTGGACTCAAAGAAGAAAATAAGGAAACCGATATAGGAGGTCGACCATCAACAAGTTTTGAAGATTCTAGTGAGAGAAGTAAACGAAGAAAGACAGAAAATTTGCGTACACAATCAAGTACTGAAGAGCTTTCTTACGCAGCCCAAATAAATCTACGAGCAGAAGGAAAAGTAGATGCAGCAAAAATATTAAAGCATGTGACATCGAGCAGTCCAAGTAAAGCAAAAAGGTATCGAAAAAATTTTCAGTATTTTGAAGAAGATATTTTTACTCCTGATGAGGCTCTTTCTTTATTTGTTGAACTTAAATTTTCAAGAAATAAATATCAACTATTACGAAATGCTTGCTTGCGAAAGAGATCCAAACTTTTTCCATCATACAAAGAAATATTAAAGTCTAAAAAAAATTGTTATCCTAAAGCAGAAATAATTTTAACTGAAACTAGTGCAGAAATACAAGTACAACCTTTACTGGATCACACGATTAGTCGTATTTTACTTACTCAGTTGGATGTAATTAAATGTTTAACCGATCAACAACGTGAAAATTTATCTTTAATTTGTAAATGGGGTTGCGATGGCAGTTCTGGGCACAGTAAATATAAACAAAAATTCATTGATGATGAAAGAAATACAGATGAAAGTATTTTATTCACTTCTATTGTGCCACTGCAATTTATACATACAGATAAAGTGACTAATGAAACAACTATTATTTGGAAAAATCCAAGACCTTCTTCTCCAAGATTCTGCAGACCAATCAGAATTCAATTTTTACATGAGACTACAGAAATTACAATACAAGAGACAGATTATATAAAAAAACAAATAGATGAACTTGTTCCTTTTGAAACATATCAAGATGGAAAAAAGATATCTGTAACATATCAACTTGCCTTGACAATGATTGATGGCAAAGTATGCAATGCATTGACAAGTAATTCTTCTACGCAACGTTGTTATCTATGTCAAGCAACATCCAAAGATTTTAATAAAATAGATTTAATTTTAAGTAAGCCAATTAATGAAAAAAGTTTTGAATTTGGTTTATCATCACTACATGCTTGGATTCGTTGTTTTGAATGCTGTTTACATCTATCTTATAAATTAGAAATAAAAAAATGGCAGGCTCGCCAAGATCATGAAAAAAAATCGGTTCAGACAAGAAAAGAAAACATTCAAAAAGGTTTTAAGAAAGAATTAGGATTAATAATTGATAAGCCAAAGCCTGGATATGGAAGTACAAATGATGGCAACACTGCTCGACGATTTTTCGAAAATTCACGTATTTCTGCAGCTATAACAGGAGTAGAAGAAAACATTATTCATCGCTTTTACATTATATTACAAGTTATTTCATCGGGTCATATTATTAACCAAGAAAGATTTAAACAATATACATTGGAAACAGCTTGTCAATTTGTACAATTATATCCTTGGTATTATATGCCTACCTCAGTA